ACCTTAGGTATGATTGTTATGAACAGCTTTGAAAAATGTCAAAGTCTTTTGAAGTTACGCTAAAAAAACTTTTTCATTCCCAAAAAATTATTTTAAAAAATCATATTAAAAAAAATAAGCAAATTATCCAAAATCCCTTCACATCTTTTGGTCAGCCGCTCCTCCTCTCTTGTCAGGGAAAGTTGTGATGTGATTGAGTTTGACGGCCGGGAGGAGTTAACGAAAGTACGTTGGACTTACTATGCAAATTTCTACTAATTTGCATAAGTTTAAAACATTTGTTAAAATACTCATCTAAATTTGACTGACTCACTGAACACACTGGATGAGATCATTTGTTTTTTTACGAAAGAAATGGGGAGAACCATGCCAAAAATATTTTTGGGGTACCACAGCGCCACCTATTGGACAAAATTCAAAAAATTTTCTGTGATTGTAGATGTCACTATGACTGATAAGAATTGTAATTTTCTGTTTAGAATATATATTTTTCATGAGTAAAAGGGCGAAAAATTTTAAAGCCTATAAGCCACGCCCACTTTTTAATCATTTTCAAAATGTAGCTTAAGGGTCCGATGACTAACATATGTGCCAAGTTCTGGGGAAATCCATCAAGCCGTTTAGCTCAAACAAACTTTTTGACTCTTTAGCGCCCCCTATTGGTGAATCCAAACAAAATGGGGTAGATAGGGCTTACCGCTCATACTTCATAAGGGTCTAGAGTCTCATCAGTTTATCTTGAGAAATGGTGAAGATATCATCAATTACCACATGTGCTAGCTAGCGCGCTGATTTTGACATGGTGTCATTAGCCCAATTTTCAATATTTCTGCATTTTTCTTCATCACAACAACTTAGCTTAGTCCATAGATCACATGTACGAAGTTTGAAGTTGATTCGACAAAAAATGATGAATAGGTGATTAAAAGTAAGTTTTGCGTTTTTTGCGATCTAGCAAAAAATCTAGTTAGGCGGAAATGGGCGTGGCCAATACAAAAAAGATGGAGAATCATCCAAGGATCATGGACATATAAAGTTTTTGACTATAGGACCTACGGTTTGGGAGCTAGTAGCTAAAACGTGTTGACCTCCGCAATAGCGCCACCTAGGTGACGCGGGGTCCAAATTTTCGAATCTGAGTAGCGGTCAGGATTTTCTATCAGACTGCCATGTCAGATTTTCCCTGGCAATTTCAGGCTCTTGCGCCCATACAGACACAGCGGAGAAGAATAATAATAATAAACTAGAACTGCAAGCAGTTATCAACGGGTTCCAAGCCCCCAGCGCCAGTCGCCCACCCGGCCCCGCCCTCACCTTCGCCAGTCCTCACGCGGTCCCGTCCCAAAAACACGTTCTCCCGCCGGCGTCCCGTCAGCTCACTTCAACCGGCGCAATGACAGTAACACTCAGGATACGTCATTAAACTTGCAAAGCCTATCCACAAATCTTTCAGAGGCATGGCTGACTTCTCAATCGTGATTACAATGGAATTCCACTGTTTCCCTATTAAAGAACGTGAAGATTTAATGAGTGAGATTATCAAACAATGATCTATACATCAACAGAATATTACAAATAACAAAAATACTTGATAATGTCTTTAGATTTAAAAGATTTTCAACAAAAACTATGAGTTTCATTTTGTGACTTATTGACCAAATGTTTTAAAAAATCATGAAAAATACATAAATCATCCTAAAATTACCAAAATATTCTCACATGGCAGTGTTAACATGCGGAATAATATGATGTTGTTTTTAAATCAGTAGACTCAAAGCTTTTTTGAAGAAAAATTGGGAAATATAACTATAAAGGTCACAACAAAAATTAAAATATTCATAAAAACATAGTGCTACTTTCTAAAATTAGGAGAAAAATCTCAGATCACCATAGGTACATGTGGAATGTTGTAAATGGCTTATATTTACTGTATACTTAAAAAGCTTTCTAACAAAAATTAATTACGTTGTTGTCCAACTATACAGAAAAACTGGTAAAAAGTTAAAAATTCATTAAAAATCTATGCTTTTGAACAGAAATCTCAAAATATTCCCAGGTTGCCTCAGTGATGTGAGAATTCTTCTCATATTTTTGTTGGGGTCATAAATGTAAAACTGTACTTACAATAAAATAATATTTGCATTAGTGGCTGTACACAAAAATTAGTCCTATAATTAAACACAAGGGGGAGCTCAAATCAAGATGACATTTTTTAATTTCATAAACCACCTAAGAGTGAACTTTTTGCCAAATTACAAGAAGATTGTGAGAAAAGAATTTGCGCTACAATTGCTAGCCTAAAAATGTATTTTCATAAATATAAAGCGCAAACCTCTTCGTGGAGCTGCGGCTTTCGTGACATAAGCTCTAGCCTATCCAGTTAACACAATCTGGAAATCTTAGCCTCTTACTTGCAAATAATGATTTTTAGGAAATTTTTCAAATTTGAAATTTTAAATGATCATAAACCACGCCCACTTTGATCAATCATTACCATATTGATAATGTAATCTTAAGACTCTATATTATTGACAAGCACTAAGTTTCGTGCAGATCCATTTAGCCAGTTCAGCAGTATAATTTCTTCCTAGTTATAGCGCCCCCTATTGTTTAATCAAGTTGAAAACCAGAACATACACTTGAATTGACCTTAGGTATGACTGTTATGAACAGCTTTGAAAAATGTCAAAATCTTTTGAAGTTACGCTAAAAAAACTTTTTCATTCCCCAAAAATAATTTTAAAAAATCATATTAAAAAAAATAAGCAAATTATCCAAAATCCCTTCACAACTTTTGGTCAGCCGCTCCTCCTCTCTTGTCAGGGAAAGTTGTGATGTGATTGAGTTTGACGGCCGGGAGGAGTTAACGAAAGTACGTTGGACTTACTATGCAAATTTCTACTAATTTGCATAAGTTTAAAACATTTTTTAAAATACTCATCTAAATTTGACTGACTCAATGAACATACTGGATGAGATCATTTGTTTTTTTACGAAAGTAATGGGGAGAAACATGCCAAAAATATTTTTGGGGTACCACAGCGCCACCTATGGGACAAAATTCAAAAAATTTTCTGTGATTGTAGATGTCATTATGACTGATATGAATTGTAATTTTCTGTATAGAATATGTATTTTTCAGGAGTAAATGGGCGAAAACGTTTAAAGCCTATTTATAGCCTATAAGCCACGCCCACTTTTTAATCATTTTCAAAATATAGCTTAAGGGTCCGATGATTAACATATGTGCCAAGTTCTGTGGAAATCCATCAAGCCGTTTAGCTGAAACAAACTTTTTGACTCTTTAGCGCCCCCTATTGGTGAATCCACACAAAATCGGGTAGATAGGGCTTACCGCTCATACTTCATAAGGGTCTGGAGTCTCATAAATTTATCTTGAGAAATGGTGAAGATATCATCAATTACCACATGTGCTAGCTAGCACACTGATTTTGACATGGTGTCATTAGCCCAATTTTCAATATTTCTGCATTTTTCTTTCATCACCACAACTTATCTTAGTCCATAGATCATATGTACGAAGTTTGAAGTTGATTCGACGAAAAATGACGAATAGGTGATTAAAAGTAAGTTTTGCGTTTTTTGCGATCTAGCAAAAAATCTAGTTAGGCGGAAATGGGCGTGGCCAATACAAAAAAGATGGAGAATCACCCAAGGATCATGTACATATAAAGTTTATGACTGTACGACATACGGTTTGGGAGCTAGTAGCTGAAACGTGTTGACCTCCGCAATAGCGCCACCTAGGTGACGCGGGGTCCAAATTTTCGAATCTGAGTAGCGGTCAGGATTTTCTATCAGACTGCCATGTCAGATTTTCCCTGGCAATTTCAGGCTCTTGCCCCCATAAAGATCAAGCGGAGAAGAATAATAAATAATAATGAAAAATCCGTAGAAAAACAATAGGGTTCCCTGCCCTTTGGGCTTGGAACCCTAACTAGAACTGCAAGCAGTTATCAACGGGTTCCAAGCCCCCAGCGCCAGTCGCCCACCCGGCCCCGCCCTCACCTTCGCCAGTCCTCACGCGGTCCCGCCCCAAAAACATGTTCTCCCGCCGGCGTCCCGTCAGCTCACTTCAACCGGCGCAATGAAAGTAGCATTCAGGATTTGTCATGAAACCTTTTGCTTAGCCTATACACATACCAGCATGTGACTGTGTGAGTGAATGGCTGAATGCAGACTTCTGCAGGCCTGGTAAGTCACGTGCTGTATTGGAAAGCAGAAGTTCAGGAAACGGAGCGGGATTTCAAATAATTGGAAGGTTTTTGGTTTGATTCCAAGTCTGACCAGAGAATGCTGTTGTTGTGTCTTTGGGCAAGACACCTTGGCTGCTGGTGCTGGGAGGGACCGGTGGTGTCAGTTTTCGGCAGGCCTCACCTCTGTCAGTGTGCTTCAGGGAAGCTGTGGCTACATTGTAGCTCATTCCCAGTAGTGTGTGACTGTGTGTGAATGGGTGAAAGACTGATTGTGTTGTTAAGGGACTAAGGCGCTATACAAATCCAAAACATTTACCATTTCAATATTACTGACAATGTTTAGTAAATGTATTAAAAATGTATTATTTTCATAGGAAATCCTCCAATGTTTTTTGAAAATCATCATGGGTCATGAGAAATCAAGTTTTGTTATTTTATAGTTTTTAAATATATTTTTTTTTTCAATAAGACGATATATGGAGATTGATAATTGAACTGAATGAAACAAAACTGAATAAAATCCATATCTGATCTAAAGATTTCCTGCAATTTGTGCCAGTGGCCCCTTGCTATGCACATTCTTGTAACAGTTTTATCTGGCCATGGTCAAAATCACATAGTTATCTCTGGTCAAAATAAAACGAGTAGACATTTGGTCAAAATAAAACAAGTAGACATTTATTATGAGCACGAAATTGCCCAAAATTCAGTGAAACACTTCATTTTGTAAGTACAAAGATGTAGGATATGTAAATTAAAAATGATGGTACATTATTCAAACAATTGAATTAAAAAACAGCAGTTTATTGTATGTCAAATTTTGCCAATTGTGGGGGAGACTTTGTAGAGCAAACAATATTTTTACAACACTGTGCATTGAAATTAGGATTCCAGAAATTATATTGATTCAAGAGTACAGAAAACACTTTATTGTTATCTACATATGTAAATGTACAAATGATGTGTTACACAATGTATAGCAAAGTGGCAGAAGGGCATTCTGAGGCAAAGTGTCACGTTGGGAATGTTTTACCCAGGACATGAAAAAATCACAGACGGAAACGATGGCAAGTGAATAACAAATAATATTTATTAAGAACAATGTGAAACTGAAAACGGTGCTCCAAACTGGAACAGGAGGGATCAAGATCTAGAACGGGAAAGCAAACTGGTGTTAGAATCACGAAACCCTGGAACCAGAGAACCAGAACTGGAATTGTTTGGAGAACTATTCTTACTGGAGATGATCGGTGTTGGTGAGGCAGGGCTGGGGCTTTGGGGCCAGGTGGGGACAGAAGAGCAGCAGAGAATGAGGATCCAGGACGGGATGAGGAAACAGGTTGCGAGGCAGACAGTGAGGCAGGATATGATGCAGATCCAGAGGCTGGTAGTTAGGCAGGCTGGGAAGCAAACAGGACGACAGGTGGGCGGCGTGGTCACATGATGGTTGCTGATTCCACAGATTTCGGTTGTGTTGTTTCAGGAACTTCATCTGGTGGGTGATTGTTCCTAGTGGAGATTGAACAAAAGAAGAGTGCTGTAAAATGAAGTCTTTAACAAAGGAAAATAAAAATAGTACTAGAATAAGTGAATTTGTGAATATCTAAATGGATACATTTTTATACATTGAAACAGTGATGGCACAACACAAAGTAACATTTCAATGTCCATTATCAAAACCACAAGTAAGTGTGATACTGTCATACACTTTTTTATGGATAAAAAGTGTATTTCACATGCTAAATATACATTAAATGGTAAGGTATGGTGTGGTATGGTATGGTATATATGTATAAGAGTCGAAATAAGTTTAGATGATTTTGAAGCTAAATTGATTTTGTATGAATGAAACGGACCTCTATGTGTAATTTGTTATGGTCAGCTCTGATGTACACCCGTCCATCTATCTGTGATTGTCTGTCTTTCCCCTTGAGGCTATTTGTCCTGCAGTCCTTGTCTGTCTGTCCCCAGTTCCTGTAACTGTATGTCTGTGTCTGTTCCTGTCAAGAATGATATTTGAATACATTCATGGTAACTGTAATAGGTGGGAATAACTTCTACATGTATGGTTTTGGGATCAATGTCTTTGATGTAAACATGATCAATTAGAGTATTATTTTCGGTTGTTGGACTTGTTACTATTTGAGTGTATCCTTGCAATTTCATGAAGCTGACAAATGAATTAGAAACCAGTGCATCGTCATTCATGTCACCCATGACTATTTTGGTTCCTGGAAATTCATTGAAATAATGCAGTACAGGTTGTAGATTGTCTTTGAATTTCTGAAGGTTATATGATGGTGGTTTGTACAACAGCATATAATGATGGTTTAAAGTCTGTGTGCTAAAAAGCAAAGCTTCCAGGTTGTTGCAATTGAAAGCCATACTTTTACACATAATGCTGTTTTTGTGATAGAAACCAACACCACCACCATTTTTGCTTCTGAAAGTAGAAAATAGTCCAGTTTCATCGTATGAGTCAGATCTGGTTTTGTGGTGAAAAGTCCAACCTGGCAGTGAAATGCTTTCAGAGGGATGTGTTTCTTTTAACCAAGTTTCTGTCAGACAAATTATATCGGCTGTGAGTAATTTTTGGTTGCTCTTGACATCCTGTATGTGATTCTTGAGACCTTGCACATTATGAAGACAGACTTTAAAAGTGCAGTTTGGCATTGAAACTGGTGTGTCGATAAAGTTTGGCATTAATTTCAAGTTTTCTTCCACATCACTTCTTGCATAGATTGCTTTAGCTTTAAAATCTTGGATAGTGAGGTGTTCTAGTGATGTAACACGACTTAAAGCTACATATGCTTGTCCAGCAGAAAAAATCCTTTTAAAAGAGACTACTGCTTTCTGTAGTGTTAGGCCTTGGACTTTATGTATGGTGCAAGACCAAGCCAGCCGCAGTGGAAATTGACGTCTAACCCCCTTTTCAAGTTTGTCTTCATCGGGACTAATTGGTGTAGCATTAGTCAGCTCGGTGTCTGAAGTTGGAAACTTGTGTCGTAGTTGTTGGCCTATACTTGGGTTATCAAAGTTAACATAAATGATGTGTGGGAAGCTATTGTTACTTAGAAATTGTATGCGACAAACAGTACCAAACACACCATTGACAAGTCCATCAGAAACATCGATGTTTTTAATGAGCATTACACGAGCTTTAGGAGCAATACTTAGTAATTTATCTAAATAGGTTTTCTTGCCAAAATCAAGTGTTGAGGGTATTCTAGTGGTACGGCCAGTCTGAGGGTTTTTATGGAAATCTTGGGCTTTGATTTGTACAATGTCTGTACATTGTTTATGCAACATGTTGAAGTTATGATTATCAACATCACTGTTTGTTGCAAAAAGATGCAGAATTTCAGTGTCTTCACCCATGCCTGTTTCACATCGTTTGAGAAGTGCTTCGTCTTGTGGGTGAAGTGGTTGGTCTTTTTTGTGTTTCCTTAAACGGTTAAGTGTTACAGCAAAGTCTTTGTTTTTCTGTCGTACTATGTCTGTGAGTTCTACATGACTGAAACTGTTTTGCCACAAATTGGAACCAATGGGGTCCTTGTAGAGTGGAGTCCCTTTGACAGGTGGCAACTGATAAAAATCACCAACAGCTATGACGGAGACATTACCAAATGAAGAAAAGTCTGAACACTGTTTGATCTGACGCAGTCTACCATGGATATATGTTAAAAGCTTGTTATCAACCATTGAGATTTCATCTATTATCAAGATTTGTAAATGTTTCAGGGTTGCTCTTAATGTGTTTATTTTTTCCTCTCTTAAAGGTTGGTATGGTAATGAAATATTATTGCCAATTGCAAAGCTATTATGTATTGTTGTGGCATTGATATTTAATGCAGCCACTCCAGTGGGGGCAGTCAATAAAACATGAATATCATCAGGATAATTAGATAATCTGGATAGTATTCTGGTTGTTTCATAGGACACGGCTTTTACCAAATGGGACTTGCCTGTTCCCGCTCCACCTGAAATGAAAACATAAAAAGGGCTTGGATTGTGACCGTTTACTTTATCTAAGCACCACTGCCGGATTTTATAAAACACGTTGCTCTGCTGCTGATTTAGAGAACGCATTAAGGATTGTGCTTCCTTGTGTGAGACTATCAGTTTTTGAATGTGAAATGATAAAGCTGGTTTTGTGATTGGCTCTAGATCTGGAATAACTTCTTGTTCACCAGGATTTGGATTGTTATCTAAAGATCTGTCTTCCAAACATTCTAGTCGGTCTAGTTCTGCCTCAGGACACAGCTCTGCCCAAACATCTTCTTGAAATCCAAAGTGTTCAATATCTTCCTGTATGTTTTGTAAATCTTCTGCTTTGATTTCAAACTTGGATCTGTTGAATTCTACTACGTCTTTGACAGACTGGATGTTTTTACTACTGTTTGTGATTGAGCCGGTCTCATAAAACTCTTGAAATGTTGTAAATTGTGATGGTTTTAACTGGTTTTCCGTGTAATAAGGAAGGAACAACTGAAGCTGGCTTTGATAGTGTTTCTCAGGATCTTGTTCTTTAGAAAAACGAGCATATCTAACAACAGCTACATTTGTCCTTGTCCGCTTCCTTACACAACCATTGTTGTTTAATAAACTAACCACTTCTGGTCTAGATTTCTCACTGTTTGGTACATTTCTGTACTCTGAGGCAAAAGTAGCTATGCACATGTCCATAAATTCACTGGACTTAGGCCTGCTTTTGTATCGATCAGTAATGTTTGTCATCCAGATCTGATTACCATTAGCACTGTTTTGAATGACATTAAGAGGTAAGCTCATTCTGACAATGTTGTCACCTGTTGGAACAAATGTGACTTTTCTAGAGCCCTCTTTTAATCTCATGTTTGTTAGCCGATACACACTTTCTTGAGCAGAAACTTCTCTGTTATGCAGAAACACATTCCCTAATTTGTTAAGCGCTTGTTTTGCATCCAGGTTTTCATTATGTTTGATTTCATTTTGTGCATGTTTTAATAGCAAACCCATTTCTCTTTCTGCTTTGGATATGTAGGAAATGATATAAACAATGCATGCATATGCATCACAGACAAACTGGATGTCCATGTTTGCATTCCAGCAACGTAGCAGGTCTGTGTTATACTGATTAACCCAGATGTCGTTTATGTTTCGTTTATGGACGACAGTTGTTTTTGTAGAGGTCAGTTTGTAGGCTGTTTCAAATGTAGTCTGGTCAATACCAATGGAATTAAACAAGTCATCTATGCTACTAAATGTGTTGTTTTCACTGGTCAAAGCTTCTTTAACTTTGGTCATGATATGCTTGGCTGCCTTTTTTAAATCTGAAGATGACTTGTCAGATGGGGTTTCCTTATTATCAACATCCGGTTCCTGTTTACATATGAATGTATTGTTGCTTGGTGGTCGGGGAAAGTGAAACCTGCAAGTTGTGTGATTTTTTTCTGCAACTTTTAGAGTGTTTTTTGCTATGCATTTGAACACTATGTACCACTTCATGGAGAGGATCACTGTCAGGTGGGAGGTCGCATGTAACATATTTATCTACAAAAGCTATGACTTCAGCGTCTGTGTTGACTCCTATTTTAGGCCCGTCGGTCCAAAATAGACAATGAGTGTGACATGATCCACGTTGTTGAAACTCTACTCTATAAAAATAATCAATGATTTTACCAATTGGCTGAGCGGGAGACATGATAACATCTTTTAAAAAAGATCTAAATCTATAGTCAAACATTCTGGCTGCTGTCACTGGATTGTTTTTCAATAAGTCACATTTCTGTGCCCAGTCCATGTCATGAATATTGCCTTGAATGTTTTCTATAGCCATAAAAGCTTCCATAAATTCTGGCCATCTTAAATCTGCTGAAGAAAAGGAAGCAAACCATGTAGGAATGCCAAGTTGTCTAACATAAGCAAACAGATCTTTTTGAACTCCCTGCCAAAATACTGGTGTACCTCTAATGGGCTTCAAAAACTTATAGCCCATGTCAGCATTTAAAACATTCTTCAAAAAGTCTGTATTGCCCAGCATGGATGATGTAATGTTGGTGTTGTCTAAGCCATGGTAGCCCTTTCTCAGTGCAATGGAAACATTTGACACAACTTGATTAACTTCTGACAAATATTGTGCATAAAAGATGTAATCCAAGTTCTTGCCAAATCTGCCATCAGCATTGAGAATTCGGGTGTTTAAATATTTGCTTAGTGTAATCCTTTGCTCTCTTGCATCATGAAATGTACCTGTTCCGTTGGGAAACAGAACTGGAAAGCATTTAGCCTCGTTAGAAGTATCGGTAAGCAATCTGACTGGAGTATTTCCCTCAGCTGGTGCTACTGATAAAACACTGTCAAAATGGTTGTCTAGTATTTCTTGGGCAATGTCTACTGGTTGCATGCATGTGTCCAAAAACATCCCATGCTGTTGTCTATCATTAAAATGATCATCGCTAACAAGATCTTCAGACTCTACCTCTGTGCCACTGCCATCTCTTTTGCCAGGATGTTCACACTCTATTTCAGCTCTATTGCTGTCTTCTTCCAAAGTGACGTTGTCGGTTTCAGAGGTAGAGTCTTCAGACTCTTTTTCTAGGGGATTTGTCCATGCACTGTTAAATTGTACATCTTTGTAAAAAGTATTGTGAGATTTAAGGTATGCAATTGCATTATGTACTTTCAGAGCATTGACATACTGATAGTCATAGTGACCCTTGTACGTCAGCTTTCGCTTCAGTTTGACTTTAATCATTAGATTCTGATCATCTAATCTGGGTAGAATGTTACTCACAGTTTCTGTATTAGATGGAACACAAGTCACAGGTCCATGGACACCATTTTGCCCTCCCTTTGGTAAGGCTAAAAGTTTCATAAACGGAATGTGCTGTGCCACTAGATGTTGCTCAAGAGGATTCAACGTACTAAGTTCTACAGGAATAGAATCTAGGTGCATATTGTTTGCAACACTTTCTTCAGGGACTTTTCCATTGAGTATTTTACGATGACAAGTAAAACAGACCCACAATTTACATGCAGGGCTAACCTCTAGATGGCATTTGGAAACTGAAGACTGTCCACACTTGTGTAAATAAGTGTCAGTGATGCATTTTTTTGCCACAGATGAAATGAATGAACCTCTAATTTCATACTGCTGTGTTTTACATTCAACAACTTGATGTTTAAAAAGTAACCGATGACAAACACAACAGACGAATTGAGGGCCAAATTTAACCTTTTCTCTAAAAAGCTGAATGACATTATCTATGAATTTTTTTCCAGTCATGAGATTTTGTCGTCTACGTTTTCCGTGCTCTTTAACAGAATCGGCATAAGCAGTTACATTTCTATACCGTTCAGAATTAGACTGTTTGATGCGGTTACGGTGGTCAACCTTATTTCTATATCTTTCTACGTTCTGTTTCAATAACTGAAGTTTAGAGTGTTTACTTTTGGCTGCATAAGTGGTTTTGCTGGCAAGTTTGAGTCTTGCTCTCAGTTCAGGCTTTTTGTAGTAGTTTTGTTTATTAGCCAGTTTGAGTCTAGCTCTCAGTTCAGGTTTGTTTTTATAGTTTTCTGTACTATCATGTCTGAGTCTTGCTCTCAGTTCAGGCTTTTTGTAGTAGTTTTGTTTATTAGCCAGTTTGAGTCTAGCTCTCAGTTCAGGTTTGTTTTTATAGTTTTCTGTACTATCATGTCTGAGTCTTGCTCTCAGTTCAGGCTTTTTGTAGTAGTTTTGTTTATTAGCCAGTTTGAGTCTAGCTCTCATTTCAGGTTTGTTTTTGTAGTTTTCTTTACTGACATGTCTGAGTCTTGCTCTCAGTTCAGGTTTGTTTTTGTAGTTTTCTTTACTGTCATGTCTGAGTCTTGCTCTCAGTTCAGGGTTATTTCTATATGTAATGACACTTAATTGCTTCTTGTGTAATCTGTACTTAGGATCGTCCTTATACAATTTCTGTAACATCATTTTTTTGCTTTCCCTTTTCTCAATGTCTTTATTATACAGAGTTCTCTTTCTCCTGTTCTCTCTGCTCATCTTAGATGGAGATAGTATGTCCTTGTCACCTTTAAAGTGACAGTAATTACATGAGATCAGGTTAAAACATGTGTTAGTTTTATCTTTCACACATGCGATTGGCTCATAATGACATTCATTACAGTGTTTCAGATAAATACCCTTGGTGTTGTCTAAAGTACTAGAAGAGCCATATTGTAACCATTTTCCTTGAGTGTAAGTGTAAATATGGGTGTGAAAAAAGTCTGCAGCTGCTTGTATCTCAATTTCTGTAGCCCAGGATCCAACTATCTTTATGCCTGTTTGTGTAACATACTGTTGTACTGATTCAAATTCCTGTCTGATGTAACTTGAATAGAGGTCAGAATTTTGAAGAATTTGATTAACAACAGCCCTGCGAATCCAGCTATGCAACTCTTCATTCCCAGTAATTACAAATGCAAGAGCACGGAAAAAGCAGTTGCCGTCTGGCTGGATGTGTTTAGTGGTACAAGGTAACGGTTCATCTAATGTAATACTTTCCCAAAGACTTTTCACCCTTTCTAAACTTGGAACTATCTGTAGTTGGGTGCAAAAGTTTCTTTTGTCTTTAGAAGTCAGAGGATTGAAAGTAACAGTGCTGTTGATATTTTCTGAAATTATGAAAACAGATGTATCATTTTGTGGCACTTCTTCAATTATTGCTTGATTCAAAGAAGTGTGATGATTTTCAGTTACTGAGTCTACATCAAGGGAAGTGGTGTCATTAACTGCAATATCTTCTATTTCCTGAAGTACTACTTTATCAAAACTATCATCATCAAAACTAGTACATATTGACTCTGCATCATCTTGAAAAGAACTATTTTGCGTATGGATGAGCTCACAACGAGATGGAGATTCAGAAAGAGACTCAGATGTGTCACTGACTGCAACATCTTCAATTTCTTCAACTACTAACTGATCAAATGTATCGTCATCAAAACTATCATCATTTCCACTGATTAACTCTACATCATTTTGGCAAGAAGCAGTTTTACTTTGGATAGGTTTACTCATAGATTGAGCTGTCACCTTAACACCGGTCATTTCAAAAGCTGTGTCCTCTTCATTTGCATTGTCAGCACACAAAGAGTGAGAGAGATTGATTAAATGTGTATAAACTTGGTCTAAAGTATCAAAGTGTGCTACTATGCTTGTGCCATTCAACTGCCAGAGACCATCATGACCACGTGAATGTGGATCAAAAACAGAAAACTGAGATTGTTCTTTCAAAACTGCACATGTGTTTCTACTAATTGTAAACAGACAGCCGTCATTGTCAAATATAGCTCTCTGTAATGCAACGTCCAAAGGCATGGCAAAATCTGAAACATCTTCATGGTAAATCTGCTGATGAAGATGTCCTGTGAAGGTCTGCATGTATTCCAAAGAGAACTTGTGATGATGGAATGTGTGCTCTGTGGGTAACTCTTGAACAAAAACATAACCACTGCCTTCTGCATCACTGATCATGTTTTGCTCTTTCATGTAAGTGTATAAACTATCACCACTTATCAAGATATTGTTAATGTCTTTTCTTGACCATGTGGAAGCCATTTTGACAGTGTTTGTCATGATGGCTGTAATGCTGTTTGGTGCACACTGTTTAAATCGGTTGCACCCAAAACGCTTATGACCTTGATGAAATGAACCTTTGACAATAGAATGAAAAGTGTTCAAACTTTCCTGATTTGATGAGGAAGATGCAATGGTAACACTTGAAGCTGCAACACCAGGAGCATCATGGACCTTCTCAGGTTGAACACTCGTCTCCTTCTCTTTACATTCCTGTGAAAACAAACATAAAAATTCAAACATTAGAAGAAAATCTATGAATAAAATGGGCATGTTTTCACTTGGGGAATATGTCAAACCTGTTGCTTTGTAGCATCTCCTAGGTCAACAGGTCCTTGGTCTTGGAGAGCAACTGCGTTCTGTTAAAATAAAAAAAGTTTTATAATATTTAGGAAATATAAGTATTGGAAAGAATATGTGTAGGATTAAGTACGCTATTTAACATCAATAATCAGACTATGTCATATAGGTCCTACCATTTTGCCTTTTGGTACAGGCGATGTAACACTGTATTTGTCTTCGTTCATCTGGAGATGTAGAACCTCAGCGCAGTCTTTCAAATGCTCCTGGGAGTGACAGCAAACCTGTTGGAAATCAAATCAGGATATTTACAATATATTCTAGTATTATGAAATTTACAATTATTTGTCAAGCACATGATGTGATGTCAAAAACAACAATCATATTAAAATCCAATGTCAGACCTGGTCCTTGGTGACATCTGTGCGTGAAACAGATTTTTGTTCTTGGACAGCAGCTGCATACTGTTAAAATGAAAAGGTTTATTTAAATAAGCAAAGAATATAATTATTTGAGTAAAAACTTTAGAATGAGCATCATTCAATGAAAAAAGCTGATAGGTCTCACCGTTTTGTCATTGGGGGCTGGTGATGGCACACTGGCGTCATCAGTTTTCTCTTTCAGTTTTTGAAGGACCACACTGCAGTCCTTCAGGTACTTCTGTAAGTAAATGAAGGGAATCATTGTAATCCAAAGGTTTCAAGTAAAGGCAACAAAACTGATTTGGTTTCTTTGAATGAGAGTTTATTCACCTGATGACGAGACATCAGTGTGCCACGTGAGCCTTTTGGATGAATGTGAGATGTCTGAAAGAAAATGTCATTCAAGGTTTTATGTTAATTTTTCCATTATTGTAGAAATGTGTACCTCTTAAGCAATATTACAACTTTATATTTTAAAAGTATTGTGTGTGTAAATCGTAATTACCTTTAAACTCTCTGCAAGTGTTGGCCATTCATGATCATCAGAGGGCATGATCACTTGCTCCTTTATTGGTGCTGTTGCACTGGCAGGGGGCTTCTGGATCGTTGTTGCCTGTCCCTGAAATAAAAACAGTATACAATGCATGTAATTACTTTGTGCATGTTTTACAGGAGGACTTGACCAACAAATAGGAAAACAATGATAAAAAAATAACAAACCTGCGTGTTGACAACACTTTTCTCTTTTCCAAAGGACACTGGCTTTCCTTCAGGTTGTACCACCTGTCATCAAAATATGAACAGATTGTAAATTCTTAGGTGACAAATATCTAAAATTAATAATGAATTAAAGATTAATATCAAAACATTATAATGAAAAAACATATTTCTTCATATTTACCTTTTTTTGTTGGACATCTGGTGAAAGCACATCTGGACATCCAGTACTGTCATTTTCCAAGACATGCAGCAGATCTTCGTGGAAGTATTTGGGATTAACTTCAAAACAGACTTCGGCCTGAACATTTTGATGTAGACAATATTAGAAAAACTCATATCAATCAACATGACGAACATCAAATAAAATCTCATTTATCAAAAACAATAGGGTTCTCTGCCCTTTGGGCTTGGAACCCTAATTAATTAAAATTAATCATTCACCTCATGAAGAAGAATTCTCTTTGAAGATGATCTCTGCTCCTTTGGACCAGCTGGAGTAGACCTCTGAAAAAATTAATGAAATTTTTACATTACATGATTGTTGAAAATCTAAACAGCCAATTAATGTCTGCAGTTGAAATAAAAACATAGAAAAACAATTTACCTTCTTGCCAGGCAAAACAACTTTCCACTTAGATTGGTCTGCTTGGGGTTGAATGGGCTTTGCGTGTTGAACGACCACTCTAGCAGCAGACTTCTTGGGGGTAACCTGGGCCTTCTGACTTTGGAGGTGCAGGTATGTTTTTTGCCAGAGCAATTGTGCAAAAATGTCCATACCATCACTGTCACTGAGATGAACCTATAGAAAATAACACATTTTTAGCTAAAGCTAATACCTCTTAATCATTAAAAGTCAGTAAGCTTCTCACTTACCCCATCTCTGCCCCACAAATCCAGGCGATGAAAGGGGAAGTTCTCAGCAATTGATGAGTATGGGACATCTGAAAGAAATATATTTTGTTAACAATTAGTTTTTCCAGTTAGAAGCATTTTGTATAGTGCACACTAAAGTTCAACATACCCATTTGTACTGAGACCCTGTGAAACATCATCCTCAGATGGTCCTGCACAACCGTGTCATGGCTCAGTCTTGGAGGGAAATCCAAAACAAAAACCTGTTTTCCAGAAATTTTACATGACATTAAAAATCATTGTAGAAAAAAGCACCAGAATATAAATTTGATTCAGTAATTGCCTTTTAATGGCACATTATTTGTAATTGCATCTATCCTTACATTTGGACAAAGAGTGGAAATGGTGTTCAAAAGACACTTGAAGTCTTTTTCTGCTTCAGAAATAGGACTGTCCAGATTGTTGCTTGGAGCGAGCAGACACACTGCATCTGGATCACGTGGGAGAACTAAATGCCGGACCTCAGTGGTAAGGTGGGCTGCTGTACCACCAGGAACCGACAGGTAGCCAAAGGACAGCTTCCCCTCAGGCACCTTCACATAGCCATCCACAATGGCTCGGAGATGTGAATCTCCAATGACGAAGACAAACTAGAAGAAGAAACAATTGTTTAATGAAGGACCTATGAAGATAAAAATCACAAAGCACTTTAGAAACTAAAGAACACACAGCAATCTGTGTGTCAACCTATAAGCACATAATATAGTTTAATATTAATATAAATTATTAGCTAAATGTACCTTCTTTTCTGAAGACTCTGGTGGGATGATGACTTTCAGACTTTTTCCTGTGTTAGGCGACAAGGGCCAACGACAAACCCTGTGCCTGAAGCCTGTTCCGTGACCTAATGGTAAGATGAAGGAAAAAAAATAACACAATATCAATGTAATGTAAATATGTAATTGTAAAGTGTGTCACATTAATTTATCTGAAATTTCTCAGTGTGCATACACCATGTCAATTTCAAAATATGCAACAAAGGTTTTCAAAAAAAGCATTTGATGTTTTGGAAAATAACTAAATATGTAACTTACGTGGAGTAAAAGTCGTACAGCTTGGCAGAATCTCGAATAGCTCTTCCATAGGCTTCGGCATAAACTGTCTGTTCTTCAAGGCCTGAGCTCTACGGTACCCTTTGCCACGAGGCATCTACAACAAGGAAAAAAAATACCATAAATTTAGTACTATGCATGATCACTAAACAAATACATTACACACTAATGTAATATCATGTATTTATTCTATTAAATAGGTTATATAGAAACCTGAGGGAATGTATATCTTCTATTTAATAGACAGATTACCTATTAAGCAACAAAGACCTGTCTTGTTATTGGTCATTAGTATTTCTTTTTGTCTATTTATATTTGAAGTTGTTTAAATGAAGACAACTGAACTTCTTTGGTTTTCTGAAGAAGTTTGCTTCTCATCTGAGGAGCTTTGTCAATTCTAACTGTAAAAAGGGCGAGTGAAAGTTCTCAGTCATCCAGGTCATGATACTCCAAAGGGTTCAAATGAAGGCAACTGGACTTCTTTGGTTTCTTGAAGATGTTTCTCTTCTCATCCAAGGAGTTTTGTCACTTCAAACTGGAATATGGGAGAGTCAAGCCTATAAGCTGTAGCTATCTATTGTTAGTCAATGAGCCAAAACTACTGTGGGTACCTCGGCTCTCCATCACCTGATGAGTCGCTAGCCTCTATTGTGAGGGATTCAAGATGGCACCACAGACGGCTGCCGTGGTACTTTGGTGCGCTGTTTTTGTTCTGTTTTTGTGTGTAAATTGCGTATCTGGGTACTCCTATTCAAGAGAAGAACTCATAAGTTACAACACTATGATTCCGGTGGACTTAACCTCATTTTTTGTTGCATCTGTGGCCGATTCAATATCAACTTTGATCAGGAAAGTAAGACACAGGAGGAGAGATAAATGAGCGGGCGCTCTCGTGCGTCTGAGGAGACGGGGACTGTGCACGGCTCTGCCTGGCATCTTCCTCTCTAATGTACGCTCACACCGCAACAAAATGGACGAGCTGACCCTGATGAGGAACATAAACAGAGACTTCTCGTCATCTGGGGTTCTATGCTTCATTGAAACATGGCTCAGTGAGGACACCCAGGACTGCGCGTTCCAGCTGGAGGGGTCTCACCTCATCCGCGCAGATCGGAAAGTGACTGTCTCCGGCAAGACCACAGGTGGAGGTGTGTGTTTTTAAATCAATAATGGTTGGTGCACAGATGTCACAGTGATCGTGCAGGATTGTTCTCCATCTCTGGAGTATCTTTTCACAAACTGTAAACCATTTTACTCTCCGCGGGAGTTCGCCTCATTCATTCTAGGCGCTGTTTACATCCTACCTGACGCGGACGTGCACGAGGCTCAGCGTGTGCTCGCGGAAGAGATACTGTGCATGGAGCAGACGTAGCCGGACTCTCTCATCGTTGTACTTGGAGACTTTAACAATGCAAATCTGAGCCAGGAGCTTCCCAAATATAAACAGTATATCAAGTGTCCAACCAGAGAGGGGAAAACCCTGGACCACTGTTACAGCACAGCAATGGGAGCCTATCATGCAGTGGCGCGCGCTGCGCTTGGACTCTCTGACCACGTGACCATCCATCTGATCCCAGCTTACAAACAAAGGCTAAAACTCTCCAAGCCTGTTGTGAAGTCAACAAGACAGTGGAACACAGATGCCGCAGATGAGCTTCGCGCATGCTTTGAGACCACAGACTGGGAGGTAATAAAAGCCACCTCAGACAGTTTAGATGAGTTCACAGATACCGTCACCTCCTACATCCACTTCTGTCAGGACAGCATCATACCATCATACACCAGGGTGAGTTATAACAATGACAAAGCCTGGTTTACCCCTAAACTCAAACAGCTGTGGTTTGAAAAGAGAGATGCATTTAAAAGGGGGGACAAGGACTCCTACAGAGACACTAAATACAGGTTCAGCAAAGAATTGGTCAAAGCAAAACACCAGCATCATGACAAAATGCAGCAGCAAATCACTGAAAACGACCCAACCTCTGTGTGGAAAAGTTTCAGGAACATCACCAACTACAAACCCAGAACCCCCGCCTCCACCGATAACACACACATTCATGAAGCAGATGTAAAGAAGCAGTTCAGGTCTCTTAACACACACATTCATGAAGCAGATGTAAAGAAGCAGTTCAGGTCTCTTAACACACACATTCATGAAGCAGATGTAAAGAAGCAGTTCAGGTCTCTTAACACATGAAAAGCCCCGGGCCATGATGGCGTGGCTCCTGCCACTCTAAAGCACTGTGTTTACGAGCATCTTCAACTCCTCACTGGAAGAATCTCATGTGCCTGTCTGCTTCAAGATCTCCACCATAGTCCCTGTCCCCAAGAAACCAAGAATCACTGGACTAAATGACTACAGACTTGTGGCTCTAACATCTGTGGTCATGAAGTCATTTGAGCACCCAGTTCTCCCCCACCTCAAGACCCTCACAGCCCCCCTCCTGAACCCCCTGCAATTTGCCTACAGAGCAAACAGGTCTGTAGATGATGCAATCAATATGGCTCTACAATTCATCCTGCAGCATCTGGACTCCCCAGGTACCTACGCCAGGATATTGTTCGTGGACTTCAGCTCTGCATTCAACACAATCCTGCCAGACCTCCTCCAAGACAAAATGTCCCAGATGAACGTGCCTAACCCCATCTGCAGGTAGATCACTGACTTCCTGACAGACAGGAAACAACAAGTCAGGCTGGGGAAGAATGTCTCGGACCTACGAACCATCAGCACTGGCTCACCACAGGGCTGTTCTTTCCCCTCTGCTCTTCTCCCTGTACACCAACAGCTGCACCTCCAAACATGAGTCTGTCAAACTAATTAAGTTTGCTGACGACACCACCATCATCAGACTCATCTCTAATGGGGATGAATCAGCTTACAGAATGGAGGCTGAACGGCTGGTGTCCTGGTGCAGCCACAACAACCTGGTGCTAAACACCCAGAAGACAGCGGAGGTTGTTGTGGACTTTAGGAAACACACACATCCCATCACCCCCTTAAACCTGTCTGACACTCCCATCATGATGGTGGACTCATGTCGCTTCCTGGCCACCACCATCACCCAGGACCTCAAATGGGAGCCCACCATCACCACCATCAGAGAAAAGGCCCAGCAGAGGATGTACTTCCTGAGGCAGCTGAAGAAATTCAACCTATCACCACAGACAATGAGGCAATTCTACACCACTATCGAGTCCATCCTCACCATCATTTAGAACAGAGGAAAGAGTCGCAGCGAACTTCACTTCAGTCGCCATATTTATGACAAACTCAGTGTTGTTGTGTGTGACGTACACTACCCAGGGCTGATTATCAGCTCAGCTACATTATACTGGATACATTGTACTGGAAAGGTGAAATCGAAGCCCCCCCATCTCTAGTTAAAGTTTTTTTTTCCACATTTGACATAGATAGCTTATTTTACTCCTGTCAAACCATATATCTTCTCTGTCCAGAATACATGCTTTGTCAGGAGTGTCCCTTGTCCTTCAGGTGTAGGTGGACTGCAGAGTAAACTGTAAACCATTTTACTCTCTGCGGGAGTTCGCCTCATTCATTCTAGGCGCTGTTTACATCCCACCTGATGCGGATGTGCACGAGGCTCAGCGTGCGATCGCGGAAGAGATACTGTGCATGGAGCGGACATACCCGGACTCCCTCATCATTGTACTTGGAGACTTTAACAAAGCAAATCTGAGCCAGGAGCTTCCCAAACATAAACAGTATATCAAATGTCCAACGAGAGAGGACAAAAACCTGGACCACTGTTACAGCACAGTAACGGGAGCCTATCATGCAGAAGCGCGTGCTGCGCTTGGACTGTCTGACCACGTGACCATCCATCTGATCCCAGCTTACAGGCACAGGCTAAAACTCTCCAAGCCTGTTGTGAAGTCAACAAGAAAGTGGAACACTGATGCTGCAGATGAGCTTCGCTTATGCTTTGAGACCACAGACTGGGAGGTAATGAAGGCCACCTCAGACAGTTTAGATGAGTTCACAGATACTGTCACCTCCTACATCCACTTCTGTCAGGACAGCATCATACCATCACACACCAGGGTGAGTTATGACAATGACAAAGCCTGGTTTACCCCTAAACTCAAACAGCTGTGGTTTGAAAAGAGAGATGCATTTAAAAGGGGGGACAAGGACTCCTACAGAGACACTAAATACAGGTTCAGCAAAGAATTGGTCAAAGCAAAACAACAGCATCATGACAAAATGCAGCAGCAAATCTCTGAAAACGACCCAACCTCTGTGTGGAAAAGTTTCAGGAACATCACCAACTACAAACCCAGAACCCCCGCCTCCACCGATAACACACACATTCATGAAGCAGATGTAAAGAAGCAGTTCAGGTCTCTTAACACACACATTCATGAAGCAGATGTAAAGAAGCAGTTCAGGTCTCTTAACACACACATTCATGAAGCAGATGTACAGAAGCAGTTCAGGTTTCTTAACACATGAAAAGCCCCGAGCCCTGATGGCGTGACTCCTGCCACTCTAAAGCATAGTGTTTACAAGCATCTTCAACTCCTCACTGGAAGAATCTCATGTGCCTGTCTGTTTCAAGATTTCCACCATAGTCCCTGTCCCCAAGAAACCAAGAATCACTGGACTAAATGACTACAGACCTGTGGCTCTAACATCTGTGGTCATGAAGTCATTTGAGCACCCAGTTCTCCCCCACCTCAAGACCCTCACAGCCCCCCCTCCTGGACCCCCTGCAGTTTGCCTACAGAGCAAACAGGTCTGTAGATGATGCAATCAATATGGCTCTACAATTCATCCTGCAGCATCTGGACTCCCCAGGTACCTACGCCAAGGTATTGTTCGTGGACTTCAGCTCTGCATTCAACACAATCCTGCCAGACCTCCTCCAAGACAAAATGTCCCAGATGAACGTGCCTAACCCCATCTGCAGGTAGATCACTGACTTCTTGACAGACAGGAAACAACAAGTCAGGCTGGGGAAGAATGTCTCGGACCTACGAACCATCAGCACTGGCTCACCACAGGGCTGTTCTTTCCCCTCTGCTCTTCTCCCTGTACACCAACAGCTGCACCTCCAAGCATGAGTCTGTCAAACTAATTATGTTTGCTGACGACACCACCATCATCAGACTCATCTCTAATGGGGATGCGTCCGCTTACAGAATGGAGGCTGAACGGCTGGTGTCCTGGTGCAGCCACAACAACCTGGTGCTAAACACCCAGAAGACAGCGGAGGTTGTTGTGGACTTTAGGAAACACACACATCCCATCGCCCCCTTAAACCTGTCTGACACTCCCATCATGATGGTGGACTCATGTCGCTTCCTGGGCACCACCATCACCCAGGACCTCAAATGGGAGCCCACCATCACCACCATCAGAGAAAAGGCCCAGCAGAGGATGTACTTCCTGAGGCAGCTGAAGAAATTCAACCTATCACCACAGTCAATGAGGCAGTTCTACACCACTATCGAGTCCATCCTCACCATCATTTAGAACAGAGGAAAGAGTCGCAGCGAACTTCACTTCAGTCGCCATATTTATGACAAACTCAGTGTTGTTGTGTGTGACGTACACTACCCAGGGCTGATTATCAGCTCAGCTACATTATACTGGATACATTGTACTGGAAAGGTGAAATCGAAGCCCCCCCATCTCTAGTTAAAGTTTTTTTTCCACATTTGACATAGATAGCTTATTTTACTCCTGTCAAACCATATATCTTCTCTGTCCAGAATACATGCTTTGTCAGGAGTGTCCCTTGTCCTTCAGGTGTAGGTGGACTGCAGAGTCTTCACCTTGTTGAAGACTAAGACATGTACAGCGTATAAGATTGACTCTCCCATATTCCACTTAGACACGACAAAGCTCCTCAGATGAGAAGCAAAATGTCTTCACGAAACCAAAAAACCCCATGACTGAGACCCTTCACTAGTGTACACCAAAATGCTGTTGAGGGTTCTCAGTCATCCAGGTCATGGTAATCCAATAGGATTCAAATGAACACAACTGGACTTATTTGCTTTCTTGAAAACGTTTTGTTTCTCACCGAGAAGTTTTATTACATTGTTGTTGAAGCTTTGATGAGAAGCGAATCATCTTAACTCTAACCCCTTTGAATGAATTTGCACTAAAACTAGTTAAGTCTTTGGAGCTGTTCCAGTGAAAACCTGCCATATATGGGTTCACTTTTTATTAAAAAAAACACTCATAGATGCTGTCTTTATAAACAGTTATACCCATAAACATTTTGAGTTTAATATGTATTTCTGAAACCTTACCTTGGCAGGTTGTAGCTGGCAAATCAGGAAACAAAATCTTCAAAGAAGATGGAGAAATGCACAAACAAAGCTACTAAAAGTAAAAGATGGCTTCCACTTCACAGCAAAAACTGAGAAAGCTTTGACCCAGAGGTTTTACCAAGTAAATGGCACAGTGGCTGAACAGCATGACCTTTTTATCACCAAAGAGGTGGGCCAGGTTACCGCCCACCTATTGATACACTAAATGCAAGGGTGTGGCTTTCCTGTAAGTCAGAGAAAACAACATTTAAGAAATAAACTTATATAACTTCTCTTATATTTGTAAAAGTTTAAAAGTTGGTTTAACATCATCACAATTTACAAGAACACCAAACCTGTATTGAGTAAATATATCTTTTTTTTTTAAATAAAACAACATTTTAATTAAATCTTTTAAGAGCAGAATCACTTTTGGCACATTTTTATCTGTCTATACAGTTTTGCTCTGGTAGGGTTTAGAAATAGGTTATTTCACCAAATGATGTTGAATATGAACGTTTAGTAACACATGTGAACATTGTGACATTAAAGTAGCTCTCAAGCTGAAATTAGGACTGGACAGTTGTAATGTTTTTATGCTCTGATCATGTCAAAACTGCAATTTATTCAGAACACTGCAGCCATAGTTTTAAAAAGAACCTAAATAACTGAGCAAAACACTCCTATTCTTAAATTTTTAGATGAGCTAGCTGTAAATGCATAGTTCAATCAAATGTATAACTGCTGTTTTATAAATCACTTCATGACAAAATATAGTTAGGCTTCCCTTGCAATATCTACATCCAGTAAAAATCCAAGATCCTTAGGAAGGTGGTAGACCCCTAGGTCAGACAGAGTAAAGCTACCTACTAACATATTGAATTTGTTTCCTTAAGACTTAAAGTTTGCTCCAAGTCTAGTAACTTTTAAATCAACATTTAAAACGTTTTCTCTTTTTGCTGCTCCTTCTGAACTGAAACAGCTCAGGCTTTAACTTTTGTGTAATTCTAATTTATTAGGATGTAAATGTGATATTTAAATCTACTAATTTGTGTTATGGTGACTTTAAACTTGTCTGTTTTGTGCTGTCCTTTTGATTTAAAATCAAATGT